GCTCAAACATGCAAATTTCAAAGTATTTTCTTACATGCATGCACAATATAAGCTTCAATTCAACAAACACAACTCAACTTTCATACAATCTTGTTCTTGATCACCAAGATAGCTTGGACTGCACAAATTACAATTATATCCAAAATCACTCACCTAGGAGCTTGATCCTACAATCTATGATCAAATCTTGAATTAGACTCCAACTCCAAGTTTCAAGACCAAAGTTGCATAATCCCCTTTCTCCCTCTATGGTCGGCTCTCCCTCTCAGGTTGAGCAGAAATAGTAGCTAAGGTTCCACCTTGTTCTCTCAAAACAATTTCTATTTCAGATTTTTCAAGGTCACAAAGCAACTCTTTCTGTCCGGTAAGCAAACAGGCTAAGTTTCCAATCGATTTCCGGCTCAATGCATCGGCAACGGTATTGGCTTTTCCCGGATGGTACAATATCTGTAGGTCATAGTCTTTAATCAGTTCTAGCCATCTTCGCTGTCTCATATTCAGTTCTTTCTGTGTGAAGAAATACTTCAAGCTCTTGTGGTCAAAACGGTAATTAAGTCCAACTCTTTAATTAGCTTAAGTTAATCTAATTTAATCATCTTGGTACATTTTCGTATTCCCCGGATGGATAGACAATTTCGAATTGTGGCCTTCTTGCAGAACTCTTCTTTTCAGTTCAGTATCATTTGGTACACACAGTCTTTCTTGAAATTTCAGTACATTATTCTCAAATTTGAATCCCGGTCTCGGTTTAGATTCTCTTTCTTCGATGATCTTTTTCAAGAAGTCATCCAGTTGCTGTTTCTCTTTAACCTCTTCAATCAATGCCGGTATGTAATCAACCTCAAAATGCAACAATACCAACATGCATGCAAGAAATGATCTTCAATCCATCATTAATGAACCAAATCATGACTTAGCTCTACAAATTAACATGAATCATGCAAGAATGAACTCAAGGACAGCAACAAGAAGATGGATGTCCTACCTTAATCTTGTAGAATTAGGAGTGAGGGAGCTCAAATATGCAAATACACTTCAATTCTTCAAGATTCACAAGCTAAATCAACAAGAACACTTCTCTCCCTCCCTAACTCTCTCTTGGTCGGTTAAGGACAAGAAAATGGCTGAGCAAATGTGTTTTGATTCAAGTATAAGGCTCAAGTGTGTGTATATGAGATAGTGGCAAAATGGTAAATATGGCAAACTCTTTAATTGGCTTATTTTAATCTAATTTAGTCATACCTAATCAATTTTCAGATACTTATACCATAAAATCACATTAAATATGAGGGTCACGTAACATCAATCGGTTTCAGATTCGGCCGCCGATAAGGCCTTCAAATAGCAGTTTAAACATATAAACATGAACAGATAATCAGACAATCAAACAGATAGAATGCAATTGACTAACATATACTCAGTTAATTCAGATTCCGATTTCAGTCAGTCAGTTATCAGTCATTATCCGTTTCGTTTAACAGTAATCGGTGATTATCGGTAATCGGTCAGTCATTAATCAGTAAACAGTATGAGGGTTGTTACAGCTTCTGACGATGGAAAGAAGACTGGATTTGTCATCGTTAGAAAGACATCAGATGCAGGAGATAATGGCAAAAAATCAAGACTTACCCTTGCTTATGAAAAAAGTGGTTATTATAGAGACAACAGAAAGATCAAGGGGGAACGATTGAGGTTGACAGGTTCTAAAAAGTGTGGATGCCCATTTCTATTAAGGGGGGAAAAATTACCTACAAATGATGAGTGGATGTTGCATGTCTTATGTGGAGTGCACAATCATCCGTCTGCTGAATATCTTGAAGGGCACTCATTTGCTGGCAGATTATCTAAAGAGGAAACATCCTTATTAGTTGACATGTCGAAGAGTATGCTTGCGACCAAAAGAGATATTGGTTACATTGAAACCAAGGGATGCCTTTAATGCGACAACAATTAAGACAATCTACAATGCACGTCATCGACATCGAGTAGTACAGAGGGTGGGAAGATCACAAATGCAACAACTATTAGGGCAATTGTCGATTCAAAATTATGTTGAGTGGCATTGATGTGATGATAGAGAGATGGTGACTGACTTGTTCTGGGCACACCCAGTTAGTTTGGAGTTGTTACGTGCATTTCCACATGTGTTGATTATGGATTGCACATACAAGACTAATAGGTATCGACTCCCTCTCTTAGAGATTATTGGGGTAACATCAACGGATTTGACTTTTTCAGTTGCTTTTGCTTATCTTGGTCATGAAAGGGAGGACAACTATACATGGGCGTTAGACGTATTGCGTACTGTTATGAAGAATACTGCTTTTCCAAAAGTCATTATTACAGATAGGGAGTTGGCTTTGATGACAGGCATAGCAAAAGTTCTACCTATGGCCACTAATATTTTATGTAGATGGCATATTAGCAAGAATGTTCTGATGAAATGCAAGAAGGTTTTTGAGACGAAAGATAAATGGGATAAGTTCATGCATAGTTGGAGTGCTTTGGTATTGGTTAGAACAGAAACAGAATTCAATGAACAATTTTCCACTATGAAGACTAAATTTAGTACGTATCCCGAAGCTATTAAGTATGTTACTACCAATTGGTTAGAGCCATACAAGGAAAAATTTGTTGCAGCTTGGACAGATAGTAATATGCATTTCGGAAATACTACTACAAACAGGTAAATTATGGTCATTGCATTTATGAATTGCTATAATTCTTTGATTTTTATATTAAATACCAAAATATACAAACTTGTAGGGTAGAAAGTTCTCATGCTAAATTGAAGAGGCAACTTGGATCAAGTCAAGGCAGTTTTAAGACATCTTGGACCAAAATACACAATTTGTTAGAGTTGCAGCATGCAGACATTAAAGCCTCATTTCAACAGAGTTTGATTGTAGTTCAACACAACTACACACCTGTTGAGTTCACTGAGTTACGTGGTTTTATTTCAATTTGTAGTTTGGACAAAATATTAGTAGAGTCAAAGAGATTGAATAGCGTGGGAATAGATGTTGTTGCATGTGGCTGCATTTTAAGACGTACACATGGGTTGCCATGTGCACATGAGATAGCTGAGTATTTTCAACAAGGTCGACCGATTCCCCTCTCATGCATAAATCCTCATTGGAGAAAGTTAGATATGCTTCCAGTTTCAGCAAGTGCTTTTGTGAAGTTGGATTGCAAAACAGAGACCGATTTTTTTATTGAGAAATTCCAAACGATTAACGAGACGCAACAAGTGATCATTCTGAAGAAGTTGAGGGAGTTAATTAGTCCAGACAGTACATTTTTGATGGAACCTGAACTCAAGACTGACACGCGAAGGAGGGGCCGAGGTCGCGGCCGTGGTCAATTCAAAATCGATACGTCTACTAAACGCGAGCCATCTGCGTTTGAGTTTGTACTATCTGAGGAAGATAGTTATTCACAGGGTGTTACCATCTCAACTGCACCAGTTCGTAAGCAAGTGCAACGGAAGAAGGCAAAAAAAGATAATGTACGTAATTACATAAAACTTGTAACTATATACAAAATATATTTTTATAGTTTTCCAACCTCATTTTAATTATTTCATATATCCATTGTTGTATATTTGTGATGCAGGTTTGTATGATGCAGTCAACAAATCGTATCTATTACTTCGAACAATTTCTGGAGAAGTTGAGACCATATATCCGTCACATAAAAGATGTACAAGCAGATGGCAATTGTGGCTTCAGGGCAATAGCTTGATTGATTGGTTTAGGTGAAGATGATTGGCAACAAGTTAGGCGCAACTTGTTGACTGAGTTGCATTCGAATGTAGTGTACTACGTGCAACTATTTGGTTCACAAGAAAGGGTTGATGAACTTAACTCTATCTTATCCTACTTCGAATCTAGCCCTGGATATAATCATTGGATGACTATGCCCGACATGGGCCATTTGATAGCATCATACTATCGAGTCGTTCTTTACCATTTATCCATGCAACAATGCTTGACGTTTTTACCACTTAGATCAGTACCGATTGCAACACCTGATCGAAGAGATATCTGTATAGGATTTGTAAATGGAAACCATTTCGTGCAGATAACTACTGAGCCTACTTACATCATTACCATGTCTTATTTTGTAATTATATTTATTGATTTCTTTGTTATAGGTTTATCTGCAACCTGGTCATCCAGTACCTCCGATAGCAAATAATTAGATTCGTTTTCATTACCCGTGTGCTATTGGATGGGAGAAAGCATATACTATCCGTATTTAGCAATTCCGTACTCTTATCAGCCCTGACGTAATAACTACTGAAACAATCAAAGTAGAAGAATTGTGATAACATGTTTGATTGATGGATGCAAACAATGACAGATTTTATGGATGCTTTTATGGATATTCGTACACTTGATTTTGTTATGAAATATTTTATTGAAACTTTTTATGCTTGATTTTATGGATGCGTGTTTGATTTATGGATGTTTTTTTATCGAACTAGATTAATTCAAATTCGTTAACATTTTATTATCGAACAACCCCAAATTATTATTTATAACAAGGTGGCTCTGTAAATGTATAGCAACAGAACGCTAAGCAAATATATTTTTTCTAGCAACATAACACCGGACAAATGTAATTTGTCTACTATTGTGTGACTGAACAGACACTTCATAATGGGCTCCACTGACTTTGTTATGAAACAAAATGAAATTCTCCAATTGTATGGCAACATAATGCTGGGAAAAACTAGTTTGTCTGGTAACACAACACTGGATTAATTAAAACTTACTAGCATTTTATTACCGAACAGCCCCAGCACAAATTATTACCAAATCATTTGGGAGGAAATGGCTCTGTAATTGTATAGCCACAAAAGGTTGGACAAAACCATTTATTCCGGTAACATAATGCTGGGAAACAAAATTTTATCCGGTAACACGGAACTAGAGTAGTTCAAATTGCTTAGCATTGTATTACCGAACGGGCTCAGCACAAATAAAAAAACCAATGTTTACAATAAAATGGCTCTGGAAATATATAGCAAGTAAATTCTGGAGGGCTCTATTGTTTCCGGCAACCGAACACCGGAATAATTCAAATTGTTTAGCAGTATGAAGCTGAACTGGCCCATAGCACTGAAAAAACCACTTTAATACCATTACAATGTTACTTCCAGCAAATGGTACCATATCCCTCCAAAACACTTTAATACCATTACAATGCATTACAAACAATAACAAATCCATATGTTCGCCAAAATAAATTTCCATTCACATAAATATTGAATACAAAATATATGTGAAACTGTTTAAAATTCTTACAAAAGTATGACAATTCATTACTTGTCCAACCAGGCATCCAGTTTACAAAAAGATCCAAGGCATCCACAAAAACTATGCCATTAGGGAAAAGTATATCCCAAATTCTGTACGGCCTAGGCATTCACAAAAACTATGTCATCAAAAAAAAAAATAGATCCCAAATTCTGTACGGGCTACGCTTTCACAAAAACTATGCCATTAAAAAAAAAACTACATCCCAAATATCATGTACGGTTAATACAAAACTATATCCCAAAATGTATACGGGCTAGACATTATGAAAAATTATGTCATCAAACAAAAAGTAGATCTCAATCCTCATGTACGGTCCATCCTACGACGTTTACGATAGTAGACTTGATGCTCGGTACGTGTCGAAGTAGATCCCAAACTCTGTCCATCAAGAACTTGCAGCATGCGACCAATGGTTTCATACAGCATGTCAGGGTGCAAGACACACTCATCACGACTGAGCCTATGGACTGCAGCACCAACATTGAAAGCAGCATCATTACACTGCAAAAAAATTGATAAAAATCGTACTTAGTGTTTGATTTATGGTGAACCACTTAAAAGTGAAAAAAGGTAATTCACAATTTGCTTACCCACTCAGGATCCATAGTAACATCATTCTCGGGATGTTGAACACGTGGATTAAACTGAGAGTGATGTGTAGGATTTTGAACAACTCGATGCGAAACACGAGCATACCACTCACGGTATCCCCGTACACATTTAGATGGTCGTTGCTGTACAGGCACACTACGAGCATTAATGGACAACACATGATTCTCCCATTGCGCCCATATCGTGTCACGGTATTGATACATGATTCTGTACTGTTCTGGTTTACTACCCCGTATAGCTCGAACAGGAGATAATGGTTCTGGTGGGATGGTTTGGACCCTACCAAACTGTCGCAAAACCCTATTGGGGTGATAGGGTTCAACAATATCAAAGCATTTCAAACATCCAGTATAATATGCAACCTCATGAAGTGGATGGTGTGTCCTACATAAACGGTATGGATCCCACTCGATCTACAAATAAGGAATGCATAATGTTAGTTAGGAAATCTTTTTTTTTTTTTTTTCAATATCACACTATTATAAAATGTCTAACCTCATTAGCACGTAACATGTCAAGTAGCTCTCGTAATGTCTGCAAGTGGTCTTCTGTAAAACTTCCATCTCTCCGCGAACTCCAACGACATACACAAGATTGTTCATCAGAATAGGACAAATTTGGATGAAGCCTTCCTAAACGAAAATGCTCATAAATCCATGCTTCCAATAGCTTCAAGTAACCAACAATCTGCTTAACACCAGCCCTACTAGCAAGTCCTAATTGTCTATACAGGAATGCCAAAGCTGCAGCACCCCATGCATATGAGCTAACAGCATCAATGTCAGTCAACATGTGCAGGTAAGCAATAGGTACTCGAGTCCCACTCTTGTCAGCAGAGAGGGTACAACCTAATAAGTATAGCAAGTAAGCTCTCGCTGCGTATTCTATGAAATTTGCATCATCTGTATCATTAACTTCATGAAATCTAGTTTGCAACCACTCTAGCTTCACGAATTGCCCACGAGATTGAACTAATTCTGTAAATGCATCATTCACTGGCACTCCCAAAGTAGCATTCACCAGCTCAGCAACCTCGTATCTTGTTAACTTAGGACATGACAAAGCCATGCCAGTGACTGGAATGCCAAGTATGGTCCGCACATCATCCAATGTAACAGTCATCTCACCATCTGGCATGTGAAATGTATGTCTCTGGATGCCACCTTTCAACGAATGCAGATATTGCCACTCTATTGCCATGCCGATATGTGTGATCAATAAGGACACTAAGATCAGACTGCTCAACCAAATGTCTCCACCTAACATTTTGGATTGTTGGTGACATCCATGGCCACTCGGCAAGCTTTCGAGAACGATTCAAACATTTAAGAGGTCCCCGTTCCTGCATTGTACATAAAACATATAAATAATTTGAAGCATATAGTACATATGATTAGTTTATTGTTAAGAAATTCTCAAAATACCTTTTTCTTCCAAACAGCTGCAACAACATGGTTACGGAAGCTAATTAGCAATGAAGGATCCTCTGGAGCACCAGGAACTGGTTCTGTATTGTCATCATCCACACCAACATCGTCCTCCATGAGGTCAGCCTCTACACTAATATCATTATCGACATCGTCATCCTCCACACCAATATCGTCGTCAACATAATCATTATTCGCATCCACATGGTCATCCTCCTCCACAGAGACATTCACTTCCACTGGTTCAGGTTCTGTTTGCCTAGCACGTCTTCTGTTGGATGTCGTTGGTCTCTTACGTGAGACACCACTAACCATTTCTGTGTAAAAAGATAAATAAACCCAATATTAGCAAAAACTCGAATATATTAAATGACTGATGTAAACAATATCAGCAAAGAAACCATAATTTCATAGATAACATTCAATTTAAAGAAAAAAATTTGAATGTGCAAATGTATAGAAAAGGGAAAAAATTCAAATTATAATGCAAGTATGCATTTGATAATTGTAATGTTCTTGGGATACCTTGACTTTGGATGTTACAGCTCATAAGAAAATTGACGTTCACAAATAGGTGTTGGTGAATATTCTGTATGATTGTGTTCTCATGTGGGTTATATATTATCATATAATTGAGTCTAGCTTTACCAAATCAAAGTGACATTTACAAAAATGAGATGACTGACAAATTGACACACTTCTATGTACAAATCCATGAACAACAATAACTTTGTAGTTAGATCTGTGCTTGGAAACTCTAGAACAATTAAATTTTAAATCCATGGAAAAATATTGGTGTAGAAAACTATAGAGCATTATATAAATTGGAAAAAGAAAAAGAAGCAAAAGAATACTATTTCTAATACAAACAATGGGAAAAGCATATATCAACATGGAAAGCAACACAAAACTAAAAATTCAAGTGATTCCTCCTCTAGAGAGAAAATATAGACCATATTGCGTTTAAAAATAAAAAAGCAAAGACTTTACAGCTAAAAGGGAAAAAATTGCAAACATAACATATAAAACTAAGATTTTTATAAAAATTACATAGTTTCTACCAATAGATCTAACAACGACACAAACACGAAAGATTTTATATATTTTCGAGAGAGAAGCTGGAGGAGAACATAAAAAATTGATCTATTTTCTGAAAGAAAAGAGAAAAATAAAGTAAGAGATATGGAGTGCGGAAGCATCCTGTTTTAGAAACTATTTATATTTGCAACCATCCATAAATTTATATCGTAACTCATAAATTTACTTTCATAACATTGTAACGCCCTCAAAATAATACATAAAACCCATCACTATAGACATGCATTGATATAAAAGAAACCAACCATTTCTATTCATCAGAGTAATTCTTACAATAGTATTACATGTTAACAACAAAAGCAAATGCCCTATGAGCTTACAGCTTTCCAAGTCAACACCTAGTTACACAAAAGAAGAGTACTAACTCTATACAAACTAAGCCCTTGGCTTGATATACATGTAATACAAACAAAATAGACAAAAAAGAGTCTTCAACTCTCATCATCATCCAAGCTGTGTCCTTGGAGGTGGCATACTACCTGTACTTGAAAATAATTTCCCATAAAGGGTGAGCCAATGCCCAGTAGAGATATGCTAAACATAGTATGAGCAATAACTAAGATATTAGCAATTGATAAATGTTCAATTTCCATAAATCAATTCATAACCCATTTCCATTTCATGACCACTATGTTCATGTTTCATTTCAGTTTCCATTTCTTATCAATTTCACAATTTACATCAACGGCTCAGAACCTGGCCAACCATTTATATGAGACAGTGACTCATATTAAACTTTTCCCATTTTACAATAGATAAACATAGTAGTTGTATCAACATCTCAACAGATAAGCATACAAGCTGTATCCACATTTCAATAGATATGCATATTAGCTATATCAACACTTCCAAAGATAAGCATATGAGCTGTATAAACACTTCCATAAATAAGCATATAAGCTATATCAACATGTTACCTGACAAGCATATGAGCTGAATCAGTGGAGTCCATCCCCTATCTCCTCCCAAACAACATTCGGTCTAGAGGTCTATTCCCTATCTTCCCCTAAACCGTGGAGTACATCCCCTATCTCCTCTCATACACCTAACGTATATACACAAAGGTCATATACACAATCAATCAATACATAATGTTAATATATTCTATCAACCGTCATCCTCTATGACATATCCAATTGATTAGTTTTAGTTTGCCTAATCATCATGCATTGTCTACAACAATCATAACTACCCTCCACCGGTAGCCCAAGCAATTATTTCTAAACAGATAATAAAAGCTCCAACAGATAAAATATCAATGTTTTCAAAAGTGAGCGATTAATAAATTCAACTCCACTATTCTACTATATAATGAACCAATTTCATTATTTCCAACTCAATTCCATATAACCACAATTTTTCCAAATTAATCATGCCAATTAATTTATACAACCAATTAGGGTTTTTTATCCCATTTCCCAATATTGACCCAATGGTCTATATATCAACAACCAACAACAATATCATTATTTTGAAACCCAAAATACACATTTTAGAATCAAAATAACAAAACCCTCTTTTAACATTTTGAAACCCTAAGTCCCAAAATTACCCAACTTTAACACTTTATCAAAACAACCAAAAATCTATGTCAAAGACCATAAGAGTGAGTAGGAATCCCTACCTCAAAAGATGACACCCAAAGAAGAAGATGACGAAACGAAGTTGCTCTAAATCACAAGTTTCTCGGATCAAAATGCAACCATCAACGATCAACACAACTATTACAAAGGCCAAAGGGGAGGGAAGCACTCTAACTAGATCAAACCCTAGAGAGAAGGGAGTTTCTAGAGAGAGAAGCTCTCAAAAGGTGTTTTGGAAAAGTAAGAGAGAGAGAGAGAGAGAAAGTGTAGAAAATGATTCAAAATTCCTCTGTTATACGACATTCCCGCTCGAGCGGAAAACACAACGCTCGAGCGTCAAGAACAAAAAACTAGGTCTGCTCGAGTGCAAGAAGGCCCGCTCGAGCGCCAAGACACAAGAATAAAGTACATCTGCTCGAGCGCGAAAACCAGTCCGCTCGAGCGTAGATTTTCATCTCCCAGAACTTTCACCAACGAAGTACTACCCGCTCGAGCGCCAACAAGCCCGCTAGAGCGCAAGAAACCCGCTCGAGCGTAGAAAACACACTTGCAGAAGTTTTGTAGGGACTCGAAATGCTGGAAAGGTGTAAACCCCGCTCGAGCGCAAAATGACCCGCGCGAGCGGATCACTCAAAAACTGGGCAACAACAATAGGAGCCAAAGCTCTACCAACCTGTAACAACCAAGCCCAACACATGCTAAAACTCAAACAAATGGATTTAAAGGACGACAACAAGATAAATACAACTACCAATTCCACGGAACCGAGTCCGGAATACAACTGAACAGTAAAGGGACAACCGGGATTGCTATAAACATGATCTAGTAATGCATATGTTGATACTTAAAATTAGATCCTCCCGTCAAACTTTTCTTGTTATTTTGACTCAACATGATGTTCATTGATAATTGATAAGTAACAATGTGCTCCTGTTTTAGAACCATAATTTTTCAAACCATTGAAGCTACTTTTTCAACTCACATGCTGTAACCATTCATGCTAGTTTTTCAACTCACAGCAAAAATAAAAGCTTTCTAAAAAAATACATCTACAAAAAGTAGGAAAAACCAAAAAAGTATATATTAAGTAACACAAGAATTGACTCCACACTAAATGAAAAACAGATTTGGGGCAACAACAATTAACAATAAACATAGATAGCTCAAAGTAGAAATACCCAACCAACGGTAGCTAGTAAAAAGGTAAAATCTAACAACATAGCTAAGGTTATTCTTCAAAGCACAACTGAAAGAAAAATAGAATCCAATAATCTAACACACAGCAATTAATTTGGAAACCTCCAAAATATTCTGAGGGCTTTCTGACAAAATAAAAACAGTGCTTAGTCAACTATTTTGATTGTTTTTTGTTCTATAGAGATTGAATCTTTGTAATCACACCTATGATAGCTCCTATAACTTGTATTTATAAGAAAAACATATAAAATTGCATGTAATACTATTGTGATTTCCCATTTGAATTACTTGCTCTTACCGGTACTAAATTTTTATGGATACATACCCAATATAAGCCTAAACACACACAATCATCCATCGACATAAACTAATTATTACTGAAACTCATCAAGTGAAAAAAAAAAAAAAAACAAAAAAAACAGAGCACACTCAAGCATATATATATATAATTATGCATATACTCTACTATTGTGATTTCCCATGTTAATACTGTTTGCAAATACAAATTCATCAACGAGAAAGAATAGAAAGTGCATAGAAAATCAATATGCCATAATCAAAAACTATATGACATACATATGTGACATTATATCATCTCACATTGTCCATGCAAAAACTATACCCAAACACTTCGACATATTTCTACCGTCTCCTATTACATCTCATAAAAAACAGCTGGCACATAGAACATAGTAACTTCATCGATATCATCAATTGGATATGCAGAACTGAGATAATCAAGACAACTTCAAAAATAAACTCAAACTTGTGTAGGTAACTTCACAGAACATATCTGAATCCACTTATATATAAAATA